CAGCGGTAGATAAATGTAAAGCACGCCTCTATGGTCTAGTGGTCAGAGTTCCTGGTTACAGATCCCGATGTCCCAGGTTCGATTCTCGGCGTTACCAGATTTTCTGAGAAGTAGAGGGTCTGGAACGGGGTCCATCCAGCCTCGTGAAGAGAACTGAGGAGCTATTTCAAGCATAGCGGCTCCGGTCCAGAAAACCGAAATTAACGGCCGTGGGGATGCGTTGCGCTGACCACGCGACACCCTCTATCCGCTAAAGTTGGCATTAACTTCGCCGACAAGCCGCGTTCACTCGGCCGGTATAGTTCGTTTGCGGATTACAGGCCACGGAGTATTTTTTGTTTTGAATAAAAAAAAGTTTAACTATAAATGTTATTCCAAAGTTTACAAACACTGCAGATTTTTATAAATGAACTCTCTAAGTTTACTATTAAATAAAATGATACAAAACTATTCGAAAGACTTTCTGATTTTGTCATGATACAAACCAACAGCTTACATTCTGCACGAACGAAGAAATTTCTTACAAAAACTCAACCATCGCAAATCAATACGAACACAATGCTATGTCATCAAATTTTATGCATCCATGTAGAAATTTCACTTAAAATCGTTCCTGTCTTCTTCTCTGATAATACTTCATAACCCAGCGGGCAAACAAACTGCCAATAACATATAAAGAACTATGTATATACTCTCGTCTGAACGTTGTCTAAGCCTGCTATAGGGTTACTTCGCTCAATTTGTGCCACCCTGTACCAGACAGAGGAGACTCAAAAGAAATATTATTCTCAAGATGTTACCCTTCCACAAAGTTGTTCTTAGGGACGTAAATGAGATGAGGGCTAATTAAAAGCACCCTGCTTCATTAAACTCTACCCTGCTTTGCTCCAGCAAGACGTCTGCCTCTTTCAAAACACCAGACGTTCTGATAATCCAAGTTTTTTTTTCTTTACAAATGGAAATATAAGGTAATAATAATTTCAGACACAAAATTAAATGTGTGATTAGTTACTAAGAATATTCTTGTACTAACTTTAGACTACCTAACAAATTCGTCTTATACTAATGCTGTTTTAGTTAATATTTATTTTTAAAAAAAGTCCTTATGTTCATTAAATTGCTTCGCCGAAATAAACAAACAATAAAGATTGATTAATTTTATACACTTTTTTCAGAATACAGACGCTGCCATAGGACTTCTTCTTGTTCAGACGCGTAATCACAGTTTAAAATTTTATAATAACGTATCGGTAATCTTATGAAGTTTTGTGGTAAAATAATACATAGAAATTCATTAATATATTTATCCAATCTGAACGTTACTACGAAAGTTTCAGCTATGTGTCGAAGTTGAGACTACATGTTATAATTAGGTCCACTGCTTCATTCTGTCAATGTTAATGCATTATCTCAATATAATTGGTGTGCAAAACAATATTTAATTTTTTAATAAGTCCATCTGCTTTTCAAATACCGTCTCTACACGCAAATACGCATACACACATCACACACGCTGTAAAACGGCACAATTGAATACCGATGAACACAGAAACGTGTGTGGATTCTTAAGAAAAACCTGAGTAACTATGTTATTAATTAAATAAAACTTTTCCAGTTTTAACATACTGCAAAGGATTTCATCAACGCGTTGCCAGGCAACAGTAGATGAGGCTGTCTTTTCTATTCAGTCTGCGCCAAAAACAGTAGAATAATGGGGTTGTGCGGCCGGTCACGGTAGCCGAGTGGTCTAAGGCATGCACTGTCTACGCTCGCTCGGAAACCGGGACCGTGGGTTCGGTTCTGTTTTCTGTGAGGTACGAACTGAATTCTTATATATTATTCTTATACACTGCCGGTCACGGTAGCCGAGTGGTCTAAGGCATGTACTGTCTTCGCTCGTTCGGAAGCCGGGACCGTGGGTTCGCATCTGTTTCCTGTGAGGTACGAACTGAATTCTTATATATTATTCTTATACACTGCCGGTAACGGTAGCCGAGCGGTCTAAGGCATGTACTGTCTACGCTCATTTGGAAACCGGGATCGTGGGTTCGAATCCCACTGAGGACATAGAAGTTTAGTTTGTGTGTGTGCGTTTTTCTGTGTTTGTGTACAGGTAGAAGCCTCGCGACGAGCTGATCACCCGCCCAAGGAGTCCTACCGAATGTGTAAGATCTAGAAACACCGACGTGAACGGAGAAGTTCATGGCGGTAGGCCTAGGCCCATTGGGGCTGTAGTGCCAAGGTAAACATAAAAAAAAGAACGGGGTAATGCAACCCGTTTCTAAACAACTGCTTGGTAAACACACTGAAGCGTAAGCTGTGACGTCAGTAATAATAAAGACGGTGTTTCCCGTGGGGTCTGTGCAGAGTGCTTATACGAGAAGTGAATGCAATGACAGAGTTAGTTCAGGGCAGTTACGAGTCAGCCGTAAGCTTCAGGAGTGATTCCAGAAGAATTTTTAGTTCCGAGGTTCCAGGGTGATTGAACAAGAAATAGCAAGAAGACTTCATAGTGATTTGAAGTGCTAATTTCTCTGTTGAGATCCGTTACCAGGAGACGACTAGTGAAGACGGGGAATCCCAGTGCGTATGCAACGGTGAAAGGGAAGTGTCCAAGTCAGCGATAGCGCCGTATTTAAGTGTGATTAACAGAACTTGTAACCAAGGTGATAATAAATCCAATCATCCGAACTAGAACTCATTTTTTTCACGCGTACCAACCTACACGTGACAATACAAAACTTATCTTTCCAAATAAAATACAGTCCTTGTTCAAGGTAAAATATTTCTTGTCAGCGAAAGTGTTCTAGAGGAAAATACTGTAACCTTCATCAATGTTCCAAAGTTTGTAATGGACGAGAAGCCCTAAATGAAATACGTACATATGCAAGTCCGTTACCCCCCCCCTTCCTATTGCCCCTTCCCGTTTCTGCATGGCTAAGGGTTTATATTGTCGCGTATAGGGCGTATATCGCGACAAATAAATTCTCGATGTATCCGATGTAGCGAATTTTATTTCACATTCGCACTTACAATCATCCAAATTACAGATTTACGATTACTGCTATCTGCAGTATCACAATTAGTACACTCAGTACAACTCAGTACAACTCGACTCGGCGACTGTTACAGTACAACTGACTGTGAATAGCCTTCGCTTCTCCCTATGTAGCCTCGATCGGACAATACGGGAAAACGGCCACGTAATAGGCACCCTTGTTGCTAGCCACGCTGTCCGGTTACGTCACCGCTGTTGATTCGCCTTGCATAGTTACCCGGTTACGGGGCTCGGCTATCTTCGGCTCCGCTCGGCTCTCTTCGGCTCCGCTCGTGACGTCACCGCGCAAGGCTGCCAGGATGCGGGGTGATTACTCGCCTATTACGCGAGCGTTACGTTACCGCTGAGGGGTGGGAGGGGAGCGCTGACCCACCCGCCGCGTCACTGCTGGTGTGGGGGGGGGCTCGGCTTTGCGCAACATGTCACAATATCTTTGATTGCCTGTTCACGAACTTCCACGTTGCATAAGTCACGGCTTCTGAAACTGAACTGAGACCTCTTTGGGGGCCGCGACCTGCTCTAATGGGAGCTGCACAGGTCTGAAAACGTCACTAAAAATGCTACTGTATACACGCACCGTTCTGGCAGGTCAATATAGGCATTTCAGGAGAAAGTAGCTGCAGCAGGCAGGCGCCAATTAACGTAAATGCGCTGGAACTGTTTCGCTGCATCGATAACTCTAATTATGGGTGCCGCGGTATCACGAAGTTTGAGAACCCCGGCATAATTGGTTTGATTCATTTACAGTTATTTTTAGTCTGCATAATGGAAATTGAATCATTACAATGAGAAAGTAATGACGCAAAATTAGGGGCCCTGCAAAAATATTCCCGTAGCGTATTAAACTTCCTGTTGGTCACGGTAACCGAGCGGTCTCAGGCATGTACTGTCTTCGCTCGTTCGAAAGCGGAACAGTTGGTTCGAATCCCACAAAAGGCATGGATGTTTGGTGTGTTTATGTGTTTATTTTGTGTTTATATTGTTCTGTGTTTAGGTAGAGGCCTTTCGACGAGCTGATCACTCGTCCAAGGAGTCCTACCGTCTGCAATGAGATGAAAAATGGAAACAACCTCGACATCGTAAAGGTATAAGGGTAAAGGATTGAGTAAGTAGGCAACAGGATTCCTTAGGGCTCCTCACCTTTTTATACCCTTCTTACATAGACTTACATAGAATCTTGCTCACAATTTACCCACGGCAGTTAATCTCGGTTTTCTAGACCGGAGCCGCTATTTCACTGAAATAGCTCCCGAAATTATGCTCATGAAGCTGAGTGGACCACGTTCCAGACACAACAGTTCTCAGAAATCTGGTAGCGCCGGGAATCGAACCCGGACTTCCAGATCGGTAGCCAGGAACTCTGACCACTGGACCACAGAGGCGGTCAAAGGCCTTGAACTGGATATTAAAATATCATTTTTATTCTGAGTATGAAAACACTGATGTCTGAGCGAACGCATGCTAACTTACTACGGTAAGAAACTTAATTAAAATTTTTATTTCCTTTCACCTGATGAATGTAATTATTCTGATACAGACTGTCTTTCTTTCCTTAAATAATATTATATTTGAAACTCGAAACTGTGCACAAATCTCATTACTGAAGAAAGCAGTCTTCTGGGATTTGGCACCGTGTATATGTGGTGTTAACCGACGTTTCGGAGGAACGTCGGTTAACACCACATATACACGGTGCCAAATCCCAGAAGACTGCTTTCTTCAGTAATGAGATTTGTGCACAGTTTCGAGTTTCAAATATAATATTATTTNTCCTATTTGACCTATATTATCTTAACGTGGTATGACATTTAAATTTGTGGGTGAACCACTGATTTTCCCCAAAATGTTAAAAAAAAAATACACAGCTCGCAACTGAGAACAACATTTCAAAAAGTAGGCAAGACCGTGGTAGAGAAGTAGAGGCAAGAGGCAAGAAGCTGACCTGGTCGATCCTGGTGTTGTCCACAATGAAGTTGAACCAGAGGCGGAACCGTGGGTTGCAGGTGTCAGGCCTGATGAACAGGTCGTACTCATACTCGGAGATCAGATCAACGCGTCCCAGGTTACCTGTACAGAAAGCGAAACCTCTGCTGTGTATCACATCGGAAGTAATTCCACTGGGACCATTAAAACATACTAAGTGTGACAACTGTATCTCACCAAAAGGGCGCAATTACAGGGTGATGAGAAGCGAATTTGAACCTAAGGGACATGAAAGAACAGGAGGCTGGAAATTTTTGTTTTGAACAGTCCAATCATTTCTACTTACTTACTTATGGAGCTGAGCCCTTCTTGAGGAGAAGCCAAATCTGCAGCTACTCAAAAAGTTCCCAGTATTTTATGGAACCCGATGGTTCATTACCGTGTTCACTACAGCCCTCCACTGGTCCCTATCATGAGCCAGATCAATCCAATCCATACCATCTCATCCTATCCCTCTAAGATCCATTTTAATATTGTTCACCCACCTACGCCTTGGTCTTCCCAGTTGTCTCTTTCCATCTGGCTTTCCCACCATTATCCCATATGCATTCGTCGTTTCCCCCATTCATGCTACATGCCCTGTCCATCTCATCCTCCTTGACCTGATCAATGTAATTATACTTGGAGAAGAATACAAGTTATGAAGCTCCTCATTATGCAGTTTTCTCCAAACTCCTGTCACTTCATGTCTCTTCGGTCCAAATATTCTCCTCAACACTCTGTTCTCAAACGCCTTCAGTCTAAGTTCCTCCCTTAATGTCAGAGACCAAGTTTCACACCCATACAGAACCACAGGCAAAATTACAGTTTTGCCTATTCTAATTTTTATGATTATAGACAGCAGATGAGAAGTCAAAAGGTTCTGGACTGAATGGTAGCAAGCATTACCTGAGTTCAGTCTCCTCTTAACTGAAGTCGCCTAATGTTTGATACCAGGCTGGTCACGGTAGCCGAGCGGTCTAAGGCATGTACTGTCTTCGCTCGCTTGGATACCGGGATCGTGTGTTCGAATCCCACTTAGGGCATGGATATTGAGTTTGTGTGTGCGCGTTTTTCTGTGTTTGTGTACAGGTAGAGGCTTTGCGACGAGCTGATCACCCGCCCAAGGAGACATACCGAATGTGTAAGACCTAGAAAACCCGAAGTGAATGGAGAAGTTCATGGAGGTAGGTCTAGGACCACTGGGGCTGTACTGCCAAGAAAAAAATCTCTGATACCACTCAGGACGCTGGAAGATTAAACGTGGGTCCTAGCTAAGGTCTGAGATTTACTGAAACAACGATATGTTTAACGCATTCAGACTGAAGAAGGAGACTCCAGGAAACCTCGAAAGCTTAAATTATACATCACTGTTTGTGATACGAAATTACATATTAAAGAACCTCTTAAAATCGTGAAGTACTGGCAAGTCTTGTGTAATTATGTACCCAGGGATATCTCTATACGTATTAAGACTGATGAATTTTCAATGTCTGGAAAACAACACAGTATGAGGAAACTAGAGAGGCCAGACTTGAGACTCACGTGGCTGGGAGTATTATGATCAATATTTTAAGGAATGTGACGGTTGTTAGTTTCATATAGAAGTGTCTTATTCCTGAATAAGTTTGCGGATGTAAGATTATCCATAGAATCTAGAATTTGTATGTGTTTTATGAAACATAATATCTGGACCGAAGAGAGACGAAGTGACAGGAGGTTGGAGAAAACTGCATAATGAGGAGCTTCATAGCTTGTACCCTTATCGAAGTATAATTAGAATGATCAAGTCAAGGATGCGACGGGCAGGGCTTGTAGCACGAATGGGGAGGAGAGGAATGCATGTAGGACATTAGTGGGAAAGCCAGAAGGAAGGAGCTCACTGGGAAGACCAAGGCGTAGATGAGTGGACAATATTAAAATGGATCTCAGAGGGGATGGGATGGATTGGATTGATCTGGCTCAGTATAGGGACCGCTGGAGGGTTCTTTTGAACACAGTAATAAATCTGTGGGTTCCATAAATTGGTGGCAAAATCCTTGAGTAACAGCAGAATTGGCACCTCCTCAAGAAGGGCTCAGCTCCATTAGTAAGTAAGTAAGTTTATGAAACTGATATTTCGAAGTTTTCTCGATATTTACCTATCGTGAAACGAACTTAAGACATTCATTATGAAGGTGGAAATTAGTATACACGAAAGTTTAAAAAAAATGTCAAAAAGATGGAAATTTTGATATTAAGAAACTCTCCTAAAAATGACAACTATAATTCTCTTCGAAAAGTACGGTATAATAAAACAAACTCGATCAAATTCACCACCTGTAACATGTTCTCTTGTGGGTCTTGTTTACAAATCACAACTTATCAGATAAATTGCTGTTCGTACTTCAACTGAAATTTAGCTGCATGTTTCCAGGGTTTCAATTTGGTTTTACATAAAAATCCGACAATCTCCTGCATTGAATATTGACAAGCTGTAAGTCAAAGCCATTCTTTTTTGTATGCAGTTTGGAAGCACAGATTATGCATGTGCTCGGAACTCGTTCCACGCAACAATCCGAGAATGAAAAATCTCGATTCTGTCAACAGCAATCCCCGTCACAGCGCTCGGTTCACAGTGTGCTCTGCCATGCATCCGGAAACACAAACACTGTCATACTAACCAGATCCCTTCACTGAGAACTAGAGCGACAGCTACAGCCATATCAGAATCAGGAGAGAAGTAACAAAAGTTAAATCGTCAAAATTAGGAAAACGATTCCCCAGCAACCATAAAAATATTAATTATTTTTCTTTTATCTTTCCCCATTCAATTACATTCAATATTATATATGAGCTGTATTTTACGTTTCATTGATTTCATTATCATCATCAGTCATGTCAAGACGACAGGTCCACAGTCTCTTCCAAAACAATTCCTCCACTTAATGCGATCTAGAGCGTTCTCCTTCAAATGACAGTATCCTCTTCTGTCCCCAAGGTCATCCAGCATCTTCTTACGTCTCCTTCCTCGTCTTCTGGTCACTTCTATCCGCCCCTCTATATTTCTTTCAATAACTTCATTTAGAAGGCAGTTTCTGCGTAAAACATGACCAATCCAATTGGCCTTCCGTTTTCTTATTTCGTGTAGGATATTCCTCTGCTCACTGACTCTAATTAACACTTCTTCATTTCTCACATAATCGGTCCAACTGATCTTCTCCATCCTTCTCCAACACCATATTTCGAAGCTTTCCAGATGTTTCTGATCTACTGCCCTAAGTGTCCAAGTTTCGGCCCCATACAGAGATATGATTTATCATAGTATGATTTCATACGAGAAATAACTACGAGGAATGACAATAAAGTTCGCGAACTCGCAGCAGCGGACAGAAATCTCAGTATGGTTTGGTGACGTTACCGCGATGAGTTCGTGAACTTTATTCTCAGACCACTCACACGTATTTAGGTGCAAGGGGTACAGCGTTTCACAGACCATTACTCCCTCATGGGGCTGAGCCCTTCTTGAGAAGCTACCAGTTGTGTAGCTACTCAAGAACTTCCCAGCATTTTATGGAACATGAAAGTTGATTACCGTGATCACAAGAACCCTCCAGCGGTCCCTATTCTGAGCCAGATCAATCCAATCCATATCCTCCCATCCTATGTCTCTAAGATCCATTTTATTTTCCACCCACCAACGCCTTGGTCTTCCCAGCGGTCTCTTTCCTTCTGGCTTTCCCACCAATGTCCTATATGCATTTCTCGTCTCCACCATTCATGCTACATGCCCTTCCCACTTTATCCTCCTTGACTTGATCATTCTAATTATGCTTGTAGAAGATTACAAGTTATGATTACAGACCATTATTGCTATAATAAGAGAGATGATTATATTTACAAACCAGAGAGTTCATTCAGAGGAAATTCTCAACATACATGGAATTCTAGGCGCATTTCGAATAAAATAAATGCAGTCTCACGTGATAAGTACATTTCTCTCAACTCTGTCACGTACTTTCATTTTAATCTTCGTGGCTTTACTGAGAAACTGAAAACTGGAGAACAGAATTCGCATTCTCTGAAATATACGTCGTATTACGACGATTTAATCAAAATTTGGAACCTAGCAGCATGGAAACCGCGTTGAAGTACATAGCAGCAAACCTGACAACTTCGTTACTCTAACTCCATTTTCTTTTTCCTTGGCACTATAGCCCCAGTGGGCCTAGGCCTACCTCCATGAACTCCGTTCACTTCGGTACTCTAACTCCATATAGCAAAACATTTCGACCAATATACCAGTATGTATCTAAATATATATATATATTTATATATTTACCTAAATATATATATATATATCATCCCTTCCTTGCTCGCACTTTGGAGCGTAGGGCAGATTTCTCAGTTACATGATCATTTTACAGACGGTAGGGCTCCTTCAACGGGTGATCAGCTTGTCGCAAGGGCTCTACCTAAACACAGGATAACTCAAATATAGAATAAACACATACACATACCAAACATCCATGTCTTGTGTGGGATTCGAACCCACGATCCCCGCTTCCGAGCGAGCGAAGACAGTTCATGCCTTAGACCGCTCGGCTACCGTGACCTGCAGTGTATAAGAATAATATATAAGAATTCAGTTCGTACCTCACAGGAAACAGATCCGAACCCACGGTCCCGGTTTCCGAGCGAGTGAAGACAGTGCATGCCTTAGACCGCTCGGCTACTTCTACATACACATATGGTGGTTTGATATTTATCAGTGCCTTTATTTAAAAACACTGATGTTTTGAAAATCACTTTAGATTCCATCGTGTATGAAACTGTGAGCTTACACATCAAAATATCGTCTTTAAATATACTATCTGTATAGTATCTGTATGCCGGTCACGGTAGCCGAGCGGTCTAAGGCATGTACTGTCTTAGGTCGCTTGGAAACCGGGATCGTGGGTTCGAATCCTACTCAGAGCATGGATGTTTAGTTTGTGTGTGTGCGTTTTTCTGTTTGTGTACAGGTAGAGGCCTTGCGACGAGCTGATCACCCGCCCAAGGAGTCCTACCGAATGTGTAAGATGTAGAAAAATCGAAGTGAAAGGAGAAGTTCATGGAGGTAGGCC